CGAGCGGAGCCAATTTTGAACATCAACTTTCCTTGAAGCCGTTGTTGGGACCTTCTCCATTCTTCGAGAATGATAAGGCGCATTATCCAACACAATTACTGCGTTTTCCTCTAAGTTCGGTAAAATTTTTGAAAACCACTGTTCAAACGATTCGCCATTCATTTCCTCGTGGTAATCTCCAGTTTTCTTAGACTCAAAGCACCACAGACCGTCAGCAACAAATCCATCCTCACTGCCAATATGGCCTTTTCCCTTTACCTGGAAATCGAAGTACTAACTGGTGTAGATTTATTTCAATAAGCGAACCTTCTTCAAATGTTTTCATCACATTCAGCGAAAAAACATTGAGACATGAGTATCAGATTGCTATAATTGGGATTATTTAGTCATATTGAAAGAAAGAATATTGAACGTCGTATGATTACTCAGCGCTTCACAATTTAATTTAAAGTTATAAACCTTTAAAAAATGAATGATCAGGAACCTGAAATACGAGCAAATATTAATATTAACAAATTATAACTTTATAAAGCTTAAAGTATGAATTAAAATGATTAGAAATATTAGGAACGGTACACAATATAAGACTTAGTAACTTTTTTTAAGTTTATAATATTCGACATATTTTAAGATTATATTAAAAAATATTGAAATATCGAAAACACATAAAAACATGGCTTAAAAAAGTTCTAACAAATGAAAATGACAATAAAACATCCACGCATTCTATCGAAAGTTATAAAAGTTTTGTTACTTGTAATATGTTTTATCTGCCCCCTGGAATTAATGTTTAGAACCTTGTTCCCAAGGTTTGAAAAACATCCGATTGTTGTCTATTACTCGTATTTACCTGCTGGATTTTTTAATCCGGTGGACAGTCCATCTAGAAAGGCCCTCCTGGATGAAGTTACAAAATCATCAACCCATACTTTACTTGTAGTGTGTCCTGCGTTTACCCACGTTTCATCAAGGTAATAAATCTTCCTGTTTTGATTTCTATATTTCCCAATTTTTGTTAAATAATCCCTCCTCCATAGCACAATTTCTTCTCTATCCAGTAGTAAACTATTACGACCCCGTTTTTTCCATTTGAAATTTAAATGTTTCAGTAACGCATGGAAAGTTGATCGTTTGAAATTTGGCAACGTTGTATCTCCATTTACCTCCTGCAGTACTTTATCTATAGTAGGTATTTCATTCCTAAAGAAGAATTCATGCACTTTCCTCCTAATCGCATGCTTATCAGCTTCATCCAATGATTTAACAATACTTTTGCGATGTTTACTGGTCATTGGCTCAGAAAAGGTGTGATTTTTTTTTTGTATTGTCTTAACACATTAAACACTGATGCGCGACACACCCCAACTTTGTGAGAAACCTTCATAACAATTTCTTTGATGGTTGATGCCTCGTTCTCCTCGCGCTCGATCTTATATATATTCAAAATGACCTCTTTCATTTCTGCACTCTGGTGTCTTTTTTTAGAGCGTTTCCTAGGTGGACTACAGGAGTTTACAACTTCATCGGCAGTATCTGTACTACTGGGCATTTTGCGCAAGCAGTTGATAACAATAACAATCAATAACAAGGTATAACAATAACAACGACAAACTCAACAACTTAATAAGATAACAAACGAAAACGTCGAAAGAAATATCAAATTGCAATGATGCACACGACATACGTAACACGTCTGAACCTGAATGTGACTCTGCCTTGATACGACTGCTCTGCCGCTCGGCATAGGCATTTAATTGCGAATTGACCAATGAGGGCTCCTGTTTTACGTCGAGACGGCGGCGTTAGCGTGAAAATCACCCGAACCTTTTGTTTACATCCGGTCTATCTCTTATCTGAATATACTGTAGGTAAAAATCTCAAAATGAGTATTTAGGAAATCGGGTTCAAAGAAACTGGGAAATACTCTTGTTATTTTGTACAAAGAAAATAATAATAACAAAAGAAATGTTGAGCAAATAGTCTACTCGTATATGAGGCGGCATCACGATTCAAGAAAGTGTAGAGAATATTTTTGTTCCAGGGAGACGTTTTGTGTCGGTAATACGTAACAAATGCACATGCCTCAAGGATACCGAGTTATTATGTTACCTATTTTGGTCATCAACAATGCAGGTGAAGTCTTTTGTAGGAGGCAGAAGGTTATATAAGAATATAAGGGCGCAACGAAAAGGTTGCACCCCTGGTATATTTTCGGAAAAACGGTCGGACTCGTCAACCGCGATTTCTTCGTTTTGAAGCTATTTGAGTTTATAATAATATTCGACTAACTTAATAGATACTGATAATAATGGAATGCACGGCAAAGAATAATAATCATGGATACCAGTAAGAGCATTTAGCATTAGTCAGTGTCATTGTATGTCATAGAAAAACTTTGTTTATCATCTCAAATTGCTAAGTTGCCTGCCTACTTATTTTTTTATTTTTTTTGGTGAGGGGGGAATGCGTTTATGCACCATACCATAGCCCGAGCTACGGCGTGTGTGGGACTCCAGGTTGTCTTGAGGAGACCACCTAATACCCACTAAACCCTAACCTCCGCGTGGCCCGACTCATCAGCGTCTCGGTAGGCCATGTGTTGTGCGTGACCTGCGGTCTGCTACAACGTCTCCTCATGTGTTTCATTCTCTGGGAACGCCGGGTTGGTTCCTTTTACCTCGCACAGTCCTATCGATGTCGTTAAGCGAGCATCGATATAGAGTTTGCTATGTTCTCTTGAAACACTTGTTTTTTTCCTCTGCTACATGTATGTTACCTGGTCCTGATTGGTTCTGGTCCTGGTTGGTCCTGGCCCTGATAGGTCCTGGTCCTGGTTGGTCCTGGTCCTGATGGGTCCTGGTCCTGGTTGGTCCTGGTCCTGGTCCTAGTCATTGCTGGTCTAATGCTTGTCTTGCATCTTGGCCTGGAGTACATCCAGGCGAGTTATGATGGCTTGCATCATAGCTAGCAGTCTGTCATCGCCGTGATGCTTCTGCGCCGTAGTTCCAGTAGCAGTGGCGGCTGCTGGGGCAGAAGTGGACTTAGTTTTCTTCGCGTTTTCAGCGTAAGACGTCCTATTTGAGGTGGATGCTGCTTTGGGGGCAGCAGCAGCTTTCCTCGGGGCCTTACTACATCATTTGTAGCTGGCTGGGTGTCCTTCTCCACAAAGGCAGCACTTGGCATTTCGTTGCCCTGTTGGCGGCGTCGGTAGACTGCAGTTGGTGCTGTTGTGGTCCTCATCACACTTGACGCACCGTTCAGCGAGACGGCAGTTTCGCTGCGTGTGCCCGTACCGCTGGCAGCGGTAAGCATTGGCTGGGCTCGGTCTCTTTTTCTTCTCGAAGCTGACCGTGAGCATGGCCAGCCCCTGGACCTCCTGCAGCTTTTCCGCTATCCTCGTTCCTGGTCTTCATCTGTTGAACCTCGGCGTCTGCTCACTAGATCTTGTCTGATGTCTTCGGTAGACATCTCTCTGCTAATTCCTCGAATCACCCTCTGGTCCAACTTATCCTCCTTCAGCCGGTAGGTGAAGAAGGGCCTCTTCATTGAGTCTAGCAGGGTAACTAGCTGCCGGTAGTCTGCGGGTGTGTTGGTAAACACATTCACACTGTTTCCCGCCGTCTTTGCCTTAGACAATTGGATTCCCTTATTGTTGATCATCCTGCTTGAGGATGACCAATCAGCGGTACCCTCAATGTTGATTGGTGGAACTCCTGTTCCTGACATGGCTTCCCTAGGACTCTTCTTCTGGGTGGCAGCTGGCTTCTTTGGCTGCCTGGATGCATCGTCTTCATCGGAGGAGGAAACCCTTACTCTTTTCTTCCGCGTGGTGACGACACTGTAGTCCGTGTCGCTCTTGTCGGCTGTCGTCTTCTGTTCTTCTGTGTCGTCCTGTTGCTGGCTGTCCACTTCTTGGGCATCCATCTCATTGTCCGCTGTGGTCTTCAGGTCCTCGTCTTCTTCTACTGCTAGAGTCTTCTTTGCCTTCCTCTTCGCCTTGAGGAGCTTCCCTTCGGCTTCCTCTATCTCCTGTTTTGTCTGCACGAAAGCTTCTTCCGGGTTCTTCATCTGCTCTGCAAGCATGGTGAAAGCATCTTCTTTCTGCTTTAGCTGGCTTGTCAGCTTCTCGATCCTCGCCATCGTAGATAGCGATCGTTCCGCGATGAAAATCGCAATATGATCGCACAGCGAGTTCGGGTGGGTCGCACTTATTCTATTCAAGAAAGAGTAGAAATAACAAAACTTCGTTACCAAAAAATCTACTGGGAAAATACTCTGAATTGGCTTTTTACATAATCTTATTCAAAAAGGACCCCTTCTGAGTGATTTGTATATCACTGGATGCGAAATTTCGTCAAGCATTGTTTAAAACATTTTTTCGAACAGATTTCACAAATTGTTTTACTTTGGCTTCAGCTTTTTTTGAAGACATTTTTTATGAATTGTTCTCCAAAGGTGATAGTTATCAAGATCAATGTTGCCAAAGTTCCCATATATTTTCCAAACAATCTTTACAACCCCCAAAGCATTTTTTAGGGTATTGTTAATTCTAAACATTTGTTGTTAATTCTTAATTAAGCGCGTAAAGAGTATGAATTGAGTTCGTCAGTTGACGTAGTGTGAGCAGCCACATGATCAAGAGTACAGCAATTTTAAACAGTGATTTTTCAGATGTTTTATTCTATAATCAAGTAGTTAAGTGGAAGAGAGTATCACTGCTTCGTACGTCACTGTCAAAGCGTGAAATCCATAAACACGCACAGTTAGCAGTAGTTATAGTTATCTCTCATCCATTTTGATACTAGATTATAGTCCACATACCATCGATCACCCAAAAACTAGATAAGGTGCGTTGTATGTTGACCAGCAAACCTCCAGATCGCGGAAGCATTACGTTTCCACGCGTACAGCATTGGCATTCAATGAGATACTACTGACTCATTGTCCATTGTTTCTATTTATTACCATACAAGTACAACATCCGTATTGTATTGTTGCAGCTGACACCCGTAGGTACCACCATCTTCCAGAACGTGGCGGCCAAAGATAAAGATACCGGCGTGAACGGGCTCGTCGAGTACACGATAGTAAAAGGTAAGAGGAGAGTGAATGCGACGTTCTATGTTCTGTTTCTAGATACCGCGTATACAAAGAGGCGCTAGTCGGTTGGTAGCCGCCGGTCACTGTTTTTTTCTTGTTTCGTTCGTCTTCGTGTGCGCCGGTGGCCGATACTGCCATGCATGCTGCTGCTTGAAGACACGAAAAATAAAGTAACCCAGAGAGCACAAATACAGCGTAATTTTAAAACGTTTGTAGCTTTTCAACATTTTATTACTTATTATGAACTATTGGAATGTCTGTTATGCGACGATAACAAAAAACTCAAAATCAAGAATGCAGTTTTTTTGTATTTCAAATTTAACCGTCTAAAATCGGAATAAAAAATAAAAAGAATAAAATTCAAATAACTCAAAAATGGCTAAATTCTGGATAGGACATTATAGGACAAAACCGGTTACCTTTGACCTAATCTATCACCCCTTAACAGGAATACATGATATTACAAGTCAACCTGTATACTCAGTGACATTACAAGTGTTACACCCAGAAAAAACAATTTGGACCACTTAATTTTTTTGCAATGAGATAGTCTTACACCAAGAATCAAACGATAACAATCTCACGAAATTTTATTGACAAGTAATAAGAAAAAAAGTAATAATGTGTTGGGCGACCCCGCATCACACACAGCATGCTTCAAATATAGTCATTATGTTGCCAGAAAAAATAAGTTGTAGGAATTATTTTTTCCGGGTGTAACACTTCTGATGTCACTGTATATATGTTTATAAAAAGGACTTCAAGTAGGTTGACTACATCCTTCACGCAACACTTTCATCAGGTTAGCTAACACAAGTACCGCAAACAAATGATTGGATCAAGTCAGCCAAATAGGCTGATACAATTAGTCCATAGTCCCCACACGTTTGACAACGTTGCGATCTAGAAATAGCATACAAGCGCTCTTTGATTTCGCTGCGCTGTTCAAAAACAAGAATCGAATCACCTACCGATTTTGCTCTTTTTCCATTTTTCTAAGATCTGAGGACACGCTCGCTTCCACATGCGGCCAAACAAGACTACGCGTCGTATTCCCTAGGTAATGAATACAATTCTTAGGGATTCCAGCGGCAATGTGTAAAATAAATAGATCTTGGTCTAAATTTAACAATGTTAACCGGCATACCTAGGAAATAACGGGCAAATGACACAAGTCATATTATTTAAAATCAACTTTATTAAAATTAACACGGTGCTCCTGAAAAATAAGCTTTATGAAAAGGGTACAAAAAAGCACCTTCCTATTACTACAGTAAAAATCACAGTAAAATTAACGTGGAACTAAAAATTATTCTGGCTATAAGTAAGATAATAATTTTCTTTGCTTACAAGTACGTACGTAATGCGTATAAAAAAACTTAAGAAACAAAACAATTCTGTACAAATATAGGCAGTGTCGGTCTACTGCATAGTCAAAATTTTATTAGAATAAAAAAAATATTCTTACAAGATGTACCTACTTAAGAAACCAAACAATCCTCTGAAAATAAGTAGGTTTGCTGATTAGTTAAAATTTTAATTAAGTATATACGTGAAAAAATTATTTATTTTTACATGAGGAACTATTGTGACATTTTGAAGTGCACAATATCTTCTTCGTTCTCGTCTTTTACATATACTAAGTGACATATAAATCCGAACACCCAGTTTAAATGGTTTTATTTTAATACAATTTTGTATAAACTTAATGAAGCATAATAAGTAAATGATAAAAATTTAAAAATGATTGCACTGCTTTAAAGCCCTTTGACCTTTAATAATGTGTGGATGCACCCTGATGTGCTACGCATTCTCCAACGCGCCTAGGCATGCTTCTGATCAGGTGGTCAATGTCCTCCTGTGGTATCTCATTCCAGGCAACCAACAACTCCTCTCGAAGTGCTTCTAGAGTCTGAGGAGGACGTTGCAAATTGAGCAATCTCCTACCCATCATATCCCACACGTGCTCAATTGGGGATAAGTCGGGAGATCTTGGTGGCCATGGTAACAATGTGACATCATTATGTTGAAAGAAGTCTATTGTGACTCTTGCAACATGTGGTCGGGCATTATCTTGTTGGAAAGTTGGATCTGCCAGGGTGTCAAGATAGGGTAAAAGATGGGGTTCTAGAACTTCGTGGATATAACGCTGCGCGTTCATGTTAAAGGTGACGTGGAACCATAAGCTATAGCACCCCAAACCATAACTCCAACAGTGTGATGAACATGTCTTTCAACAAAAAACTGTGGATTCCTCCTTTCACCACGTCGCCTTATAACCCTGGCACGACCATCGTGCATGCCTAAACAAAATCGAGACTCGTCACTAAAGACAATACTGTTCCATTCCTGATCCCAGAGTGACCGTTGTCTGCACCACTCAAGGCGATTACGTCGGTGTTCTCGAGTTAAAGGGAGGACCCAGTGTGGCCGGTATGAAAACAAGCCAAAACTTCTCGTTCGTCGGTAAACACTTCGCATGCCAATAGGTCTTCTGTCTTCTGCAAACCATTCATTTGCAATGGACCTGGTAGTGGAGAAACGGTCCCTTAAGGCCAATAATCTTAGGCGGCGATCTTCACGGCCTGTTGTTCTACGGCGGCATCCAGTGCCCCTTGCTCTTTGCGTACGGCCTTCTCGAAACCTTGCCTGACAACACCTAACCACAGTGTCTACACTTCTTTGCACTCTAACTGCAATTGCCCGAAAAGAAAGTCCAGCTTCCCGAAGTCCCACTATACGGCCCCTATCAAACTCACTAAGTTGACGAAATCGTACAGGTCTCCGTACTCCAGGCATCGTAACCGATCGTAAAGGATGTCAAGAACCAAAATCCGCCAACGTTGATTCTTCACTGCGGCTGAAATATTCATTTTTAGAGCGTTAGTGAATTGAAAAAAAGCAGTATAAAAACCGGAATGTCCAACTGATAAGGCTGAACATTTTTTCACTTGTTATTTACAGTAAGATAAATACATTCACCAACTTTTATTAAAATAAAACCATTTAAACTGGGTGTTCGGATTTATGTCACTTAGTATACATACATTACCGGCTGCGCATTCGGTATTGTATAGAATACCTAGGCAAACTGCGAAACAAACAATATTTCATGCATTACCAACATGTTTTAGGAATTCTATACATTACCTGGGTATATTATAGAATACGAGATTATACAGAATGCCGGTAACATATCAACATCTACTGTTTCCAGCTGCACGTGAAATCTATATAAATTGTCCATCATCAAACGATTCAAAAATTATTTACTCACTTCCTAGCCCATGATATTTTTTCTTCTTTACCATTGCTCAAATGCTCAAAGATCTCCATTATTCACAATGAGACACACAAAGCAATAAAAAGAAAATCTCAAAAGATAATATGAAATGAAAACGATAAAAACCATAAGCTTAAGAACGCCTTACTGACAATCCTCAGCCTCAAAACATAGCTGACAGTTCATGTTAACAGAAACGTTGGAAAATCGCCAAAATGTCCCCTGTGCTAAAAACTGGAGACAAGTCCAACATTGAAAATTAACGTCCGATCTTTATTTTGTGCATGTTCGGCGCATAATCAACTCTCTCAACATCAACATGGATTTATTAAAAATCGTTCAACTGCTACAAATCTAGTTATCATCACGCAATATATTTCGGAGACATTGGACAACAATAGTCAAGTTGACGTCATCTACACGGACTTCTAGAAGGCCTTCGATCGAATAAATCATGATGTATTTCTTGGAAAGTTGATCGAATTTGGTTTTTCTTTGAATCTTATTTATATTCGAGGTGTTAATTTGTTTCTTATTATAATGTTCGTTCTGATACTTACTTAGCCTCATCGGGTGTTCCGCAAGGTTCAAATTTGGGTCCTCTGCTATTCTTCTATTTATGTGAAGATTTGCAGAGTGAGCGTTTATGTTTTGCCGATAATTTGAAAATATATTCCGTTATCAATGATTTGAATGATTGTACTTTCCTTCAGACACAATTGGACATCCTCCAGCACTGGTACACTGTACCCAAATGTAAAATTATGAGTTATTCTAGGAGGAAAACTACCTATCACTTTATTTACCTGTTGAATGGGCTATCTCTGGAGCGTTGTACCGAAATTAAGGATTTAGGTGTGATTTTTTATTACAAGTTGACATTTGGTAGACATATTGAAGCATTAGTTTCACATTCTATGCAGTTATATGGATTTATTGTTAGAAACTATAGACATTTCCATAATATAAGCTACTGTATTTTGCTTTTGTGAGGTCTAAACTGGAGTACGCTTGCATAGTTTGGAATCCCCTTTATGAGTGCCAAAAGAGTTGTTTGGAGAAGGTACAGAGAAGATTTTGTAAGTTCTTAGTTTATAAAATTAATGGAATTTACCCAGAAAGGGGTGTTACTAATACCGAGTTATACAGTCGTGTTGACCCTATATCTCTGGAGCAGCGTAGAACTTGCGCGACATTGATATTTTTGTTTAAGCTTTTAAATAATCTAATTGATAGTCCCTCAACATCAGTGTACCGAGTTTTCTGTCGCGTACTCACTCCACGTTCAGGTCTACAAGGGCAAGAACAAATTTTTCACTGAGGTCCCCGCTAAATATGTTTAAAAATTTCAATAGAATCTGTACTTTCTGTAACATATTTTGTACTTCTAACAAAGAATTAGTTAGGATAGCTAATACATACGTAGATCAAGAATATACGTGAGATATTTTTGTTTTGTTATACAGGGTGTCCGCAAAGTTGGGGTTTTCCTTTTTAGAAACAAGTACCCTTGAAATAACAAAGTTAATGTGTAGTGAAACGAGGGCGACCAAGTAAAAAAAAAATAGAGGAAAAAGTACTCACTCTCCAGTTGACGAGAAGGGCTAAGTACGTCTCTGCCCGAAATCATACCGCTCCAACAGAAAATGAAATCAGCTGATGCGCTACCGAGCAGACGCGGATTTTCTACTGACCAAACATGAGTGTTGCGAAAGTTATTCACCCCATTACGCGTGAACGTAGATTCGTCTGTCACCAATATGCACTTCAAAAAGTCCGGATTGTCATGTTGATGCAACAACCACTCACATAACCGCACTCTTGCTGGAAAATCGTCAGGTTGAAGGGCTTGTACACGTTGGACGTGAAACGGATACAGCCCCTCTTCACGCAGCGTTTGCCACACTTTAGTTTTTGATACTTGCACTTCTCTAGCCACGTCTCTAGTGCTTGTTGAGGGATTATCGTCTACGCGATTACCTCTACACGCGTGACCATAACCGTCGGTTGAAGGTTGCATACTGACCTGACACACTGACCCCGACCCAGTTCTGTCGTCGGGTTGAGCCTGTGACCTTGTACCAATTGGTGATGTCGCGGGTCGCGGCTACAGGACAGTATTCAGATATGTTTGATGTTGCAGAGCCCTTTATCTCGGTTCCCCTAAGACATTGGTGTATGTGGTACTAAGAAAAATTGCTTATGTTTTCAAGATCTACACGTCGTGTAAAGGAAAACCCCAACCTTGCGGACACCCTGTATAGCTTGTTCTGTTTGTTTTATATGGATTTTGTATAATATTGTCCTGTTAATGGTCCACTGTTGTACATTAAAGCTACTATCTATCTATTGATAAACTGACCCCAAGGTTTTACCCACATTAATTCCGATAGCAACGGCTACTCTGATTTCAAGGTATTCCTTGACGCTTGTATCTTGTCGCCAGGTTCTAATCTGCCTGACGATGACAACAGCATCGGCAGAAGAATGCACAGCGAGGACGGCTACGGATATTTCGCCATCAACTTGCCGCATCAGGGTCAGATTACGGTCAACAGGACGCTAGACTTCGAGAAAACGCAGAGATATTATGTCACGATCGTTGCTACCGTAAGTTCCCTACTATAATTAGATGCTGTGTACATTCGTATACTAGACGGCAAAAGTGTCGTGAAATGTTAAAATCGCTATTTTGGAGTTGAGAAAAAATACAATGTGCTGAGGCTCACCGTTTGAAAAATCAATTTCAAATAAAATTATAATAAAATTTAAGTTATTAACAGAATAATGCAATTCGAAGTAAAAGGCGTGGGGCGTATTTTACATACATAAACTTTAGGCTGACCCAGATACCAGGATTATAAAAAGTCTGCCAGCCCGGCTCATGATCCAAATCCAGCTGCTACACGGTACGTAGGTAAACCTATTTACAAATCAAATTGGAAATCCAAGTTGACACATTCCTATAGCTATAAAAACGTGTAACAGAATAGTACTTCAATTTCCTTATTGAATAAATAGTGAGTACTTTTCTCAACAAGAAATTCCCAACACTCGGAAGGGAGATCACCAAGGCAAAGAAACATATAATATGCTACTACTTAGTATTAAAATAGTATAGTTTAGAGCCACAACGTCTGAACTTTTATCTGAAACTTGATGCCGTTTATCAGTATTTACCAGCTCTACTGTTCCGGTGTTATTATAATGAATGAGTTGATCCTCCAGCTGATCTTACATCGAATATTATATATTTTTGCCGACTACTGTATACGTTTCTGCGTCAGTCACACATGCATTCTTATGTATGTGCTGTATTTATCTTCCGGACTGTTTGCTTTAAAGTAACAGTAAAGTTCTCAAGAAGTTTCATTAACACTCACTCATGACAATAGTTAAACATAACGGTTCCATGTAATGATATTGGCAATATTTTTGTTTACCTCGTCATAGTATAAGCGAACACGTTGAATGTTGGATTAGATTTCATATGAATATTCAACCTAAATTTCTCGAACACTTCATAATATCCTGATCAAACGAACTTAACTTTAAGTGATGTTCGATCTCAATTATGTCCAGGCCTCGCCTCGCAAATAGAATAGGTATAGTATCCCGTTTCCCGACGAAACCCATGACTTCAAAGCGCAAACGCAGCGAAGTAAAGCGGCTCACCGCATGTTCTCACTTTCCTCCTCTCCGGCCCTGTCCTAATTTTCTTCAAAGCCAGGTTGTTGCAAGAATTGGGTGATACATAAGGAAAGAGGGATCTGTTTATTTTGTCATAACTAAGATCGAACATCACTTGAAGATAAGCTCGTTAGATCATGTAATTATGTTCCGTCCTCGTCTCGTAAATAGAATAGGTGTAGTACCCCGTTGCCCGGCCAAATCTACCAGTTAGAAGCGCACGCAGCGAAGAAAAGCGGCACACTGCGTCTTCCCACTTTCCTCCTCTCCAGCCCTGTCCTCATTTTCTTCAGAGCCAGGTTATTGCAAAGAATTGGGTGATGCATAGGGCGGGAGGGACCTATTTATTTTGACATAATTAAGATCGATCATCACTTAGAGGTAAGTTCGATAGATCATGTAATTATGTTCTGTCCTCGTCTAGTAAATAGAATAGATGTAGTACCCAGTTTCCTGGCCAAATCTACCAGTTCAAAGCGCGCACGCAGCGAAGAAAAGCGGCTCACCGCGTCCTTTCACCTTCTCTTTCTCCGGCCACTGGCCTGCGTACTCTCATTTGCTTCAAAGCCAAGTTGTTGCAACAATTGGGTGATACATAGGGAGGAAGGGAAGGAGCTATTTACTTCGACGAGGCCTTCGCATAATTAAGATCGACCATCACTTACAGGTAAGTTCGTTAGATCATGTAATCGTGTTCCGGCCTCATCTCGTAAATAGAATAGGTGTAGTACCCCGCTTCCCGGCCAAACCCACGAGTTCAAAGCGCAAACGCAGCGAAGAAAAGTGACTCACCGCGTCTTCCCACGTTTCTCCTCTCCGGCCCTGTCCTCATTTTCTTCAAAGCCAGGTTGTTGCAGGAATTGGGTGATACATAGGGAGGGAGGGACTTATTTATTTTGACGTAATTAAGATCGACCATCACTTACAGGTAAGTTCGTTAGATCATGTAATCGTGTTCCGGCCTCATCTCGTAAATAGAATAGGTGTAGTACCCCGCTTCCCGGCCAAACCCACGAGTTCAAAGCGCAAACGCAACTCTCATTTGCTTCAAAGCCAAGTTGTTGCAACAATTGGGTGATACATAGGGACAGAGGTAGGGACCTATTGACTTCGACGAGGCCTTCGCATAATTGAGATCGAACATCACTTACAGGTAAGTTCGTTAGATCATGTAATCGTGTTCCGGCCTCATCTCGTAAATAGAATAGGTGTAGTACCCCGCTTCCCGGCCAAACCCACGAGTTCAAAGCGCAAACGCAACTCTCATTTGCTTCAAAGCCAAGTTGTTGCAACAATTGGGTGATACATAGGGACAGAGGTAGGGACCTATTGACTTCGACGAGGCCTTCGCATAATTGAGATCGAACATCACTTACAGGTAAGTTCGTTTGATCATGTAATCGTGTTTCGTCCTCGTCTCGTAAATAGAATAGGTGTAGTACCGGATTTTTACACTGCCAGCCAATAATATTGAAATTAGGATTTCTCAGTTTTTAAAAGCCTGATCCTAGTAACTCAATATCTGTGGGAAATAATCTTTATACCTTGGTTATAAAATCGCTGCAACAGCACTGAAATTTTTATATTATAGTGGCACATGATGATGATATTCTTCTGGTGGAGGAGGACGGTTTCTTTTAACACTGCTTCAAAGTTGTTGAGATATTTTTGATTCGATTTTTGTACTAGTTTAACTTAACAGAACAGGCAAACGCTTTCTAATGGACTGTTACATAATTTGGATAGAGTTCATACCAATGAGCTCTCTTCATATAGAGTCCGATAGGGCCAGAATGAGAAGCGGGAGCCTGAAGAGTCCGAGGTTAAGATGCGGTAACATCATAAAGGATCTTTGATCGGTCGGATATCACTCTGAGCAATATATAGCTTAGTGCAGGTTAGGTCTTTTATTGGTCATGTGCACAAGGAAAGCCAAAACATCACTATTTTGACTCCCGAGCTAATAGGCCTCATACAAAAGTTGTATGATGTATAACTATGCTACAAAAATGATTTAGACACCTCATTTAAGACTTTCACTTCTCACAGCATTTTGGTGCTAAGGAAACAACAAAATACCGCTTTTACAACTCAACAGTTCTTTCACCGAACACTTTGCTAGTTGGGTTGTATGCCCGTTTGAGTACGAAACACACCCTGTGACCCTGGACTGATGCTCAGGTAAACCACAGACAAATGCCTCTGGTCTAGATTCGTGTACTGATCCGCTTCCTACCTTTTGTTTTTCAATTAGGTGCACCGTCATAGACTAAATAATAACTTTCCTGCAAATATCTGGTGGGTGTGTTGCTCGGCATTTGAAAGCAAAACGCGCGCACCGGTTGTGATTTCGATCGCGAAAACCCATACACACCGTTATGTTAAGAAATCGCCCGTGGTCTTTCTTATTTCCGCATAAATTTATTCAGGGCATACCATCGACGGTTGTTTATTTTAATAGTTTTAGTGAACTCGATACGAGCTGGTCAGTTGTGAGGTTGCCGCTTTATAGTCTCACATCGTCGAATTAGCATTTCCACCCTTTTGATAATATGAATTCGACAGTCCAAATAATATATTAAAGTAATAGTCACCTTTAATCTTCATCAGAGGTAACATGAACGCGCAGCGTTATATCCACGAAGTTCTAGAACCCCATCTCTTACCCTATCTTGACACAATGGGAGATCCAACTTTCCAACAAGATAATGCCCGACCACATGTTGCAAGAGTCACAATAGACTTCTTTCAACGTAATGATGTCACATTGTTACCATGGCCACCAAGATCTCCCGACTTATCCCCAATTGAGCACGTGTGGGATATGATGGGTAGGAGATTGCTCAATTTGCAAAGTCCTCCTCAGACTCTAGAAGCACTTCGAGAGAAGTTGGTGGTTGCCTGGAATGAGATACCACAGGAGGACATTGACCACCTGATCAGAAGCATGCCTAGGCGCGTTGGAGAATGCGTAGCACATCCGGGTGCATCCACACATTATTAAAGGTCAAAGTGCTTTAAAGCAGTGCAATCATTTTGAAATTTTTATCTTCCACTTATTATGCTTCATTAAGTACTTATACAAAATTTTATTAAAATAAAACCATTTAAACTGGGTGTTCGGATTTATATGTCACTTAGTATATGTTTGAATCCTGGTCCCGGAAATGGGACAATATTGCTCGTCTCACCCTTCCAGATATACCTCGATCGTATTAGCATGATTACTTTAAGATTCCGAGGAAGTACATATCCCGTATTACTCGTATGAAAATTGGACATGGCTACTTCCCGTCACACCTCGCTAGGTTGAATCTGATACCCTCGGAACTTTGTGAGCATTGCAGTGTCAAAGGAGATTTGGATCACATTTTTATCTGGTGTACTAAGCATTATACACGATGTGACAATTTTTAGCTAAACTTACTGGTGCGTAGGTTGCCTACTCCGTACAATACACAATCACTCCTCTCGCTACAAATACCTGAAATGACTTTCTGCTTTACGGAATTCATCAAAATTTGGAGCCGCCAGAATAATTTAATTTCTTTTCTTTATCTCCCTTTATCTGTCACCCAGACAGGGATAATAGTAATAGACTATAGTGTTGGGTATACAGGTTTTTCCTTCGTTCTTTCTATACGAGTGATGTCTTTTAAGTTTTGCATATGGAAATAAAACAACACGGTGGGTAGTTTTAAATGACTTTATTGTTTTTCGACGTATTCTCCGCGAAGATTAATACACATTTTCATGCGCTCTAACCAATTTTCGAAGCACTTATTCCTCTCGTTTGCTGGCAGATCCGAAACGGCATTTTTGAATGCGTCAACTGCTTCTTCTGGTGACTGGAACCTTTGACCCCGCAGTCTGTTTTTAATTTTCGGGAAAGTAAACAAAATCGTTAGGACTTAGACCGG